GCCACACTTGTAGTGCAAGTGGCTACTAGAAGAATTTGAACAATTTCCAGTGCATTCACATAGACAAGCGAAATAAGTAGGAACACAAAACACTAAATGACTTGGTCTTTGTGCAATACACCTGAACTTGAGGGAGAGGTAATAGGCTCTTGTCTTATTTTTCCAATAAGGTCCTTGTATTTTATGTTTAAAATATACAATTTGAAATGTTATAAAATGTAGGACCATGAAAAAAACAATGCACTTGGGGACCCAATTGACTTAGAGAAAATCGATATTGTGGAAGAATGGGTCGTCGAGAAAGAGAGAGGGCAGCTCTTGAAGGTTATGAAGACCAACTAGAGTATCAGATGTGGATGGAACCGCTACAAGGAGGTAAATTTGAGTTTGATATTTTGATGTTTTAACTTTATGCACTTTAAGGATGCAAGCATGTATCGTACTACTTATGTAAGTTTTATCATGGGTGATGTAGATGATGATGGTGAAGAGGTTGATACAAAGGAACCTAATGATAAGCAAGGAGATAAAAATGTTGTTGATGAAGAAGACTATTGTTACATTTGATTTCAGTATGTCACTTAGTAAGTGTAACAAACTTTCAAGGACTATGGTATGTTGATTGTGGAGCTGTGGACCTGTGGATCTATACTTTTTAAAAACCACCATACCCATGTCATGACTATGGTTGGGTACTGACTTTCATATGATATTATGAGCTTTCCATTTTGTGCCCTAGACCATTTTTGACGTGTATCATTGTACTTATTGCTTCATGGTTTATTTTTGTTTCTGATAATTCTTTGAATATCTGCTTTTCTAATTTTTTCTTATTTTCCATAATTTTCTCTATCAAATTACATTTTGTCCTTATTTTTCCTTATTTGACCAGTCTAACAAGTGAACTCGTCCAGACTGGCCAGTTGAAAACAATCTAAGGCAAATTAAAGAAGAGAAAAGAAGTGAGATGTGAAAGTGTAGTACTAGAGAGAGAGAGAAGAAAGAAGAAAGAGAAGAGAGAGAAATATGAGAGGGAAGAGAATAGAGAGAGAAAGGAGAGTAGTGTGTAGGCCAAGAAAGACTAGCACACACCTCTTATTCATATCAATATGTTTACCTAATTATTCCCTCAAAAAAAAAAATATGTTTACGTAATTACAGTACTTCCTTTTTTAATGAGAAAGGACATAATAAGTCCTAAACAAAATAAAAGACATTTATACCCATAAAAAACAACAATACTTAACTATTTCTAACAGTCCCCTTCAAGCTGGTGCATAGCATCAATTATGCCCAGCTTGCTTGTGATATCTTGTAGTCTATCCTATCTAACAGTTGTAGTGAAGATATCTGCAAGTCAATCTTTAGACATCCCATGAGGAGTATGAATGATTTTGGCAACAACTTTCTCTTTAACAAAGTGACAATCTACTTCAATGTGTTTAGCCCTTTATGATATACCGGATTCTCGAAGATATAAGATGGTAGCTTTATGGTCACCGTACAAACTCATGGGAAGCCTAGCTTTAACCCCCAAATCAAAGAGAACACTTTTGATCCACATTACTTTACATGTACCATGCCATAGCCCTGTATTCTGCTTAAGCACTTGATCTTGCGACCACATTTTATTTCCTGGTTTCCAAGAAACCAAATTTCCTAGAAAGGTACAACAACCAGCTGTGGGTCTCCTATCAATTTGGCGTCCAGCCTAATCAGCATCAGAGTAAATAGCAACATCAGAATGCCCTTGATTAGAGAAAATATCCCTACCCTTAGAGCAGACTTTAGATATCTTCAAGTAACTGTCTCATTTCTCCATGAAGTTTATATTTGACTTCAATAGGAGCATCAGCTGGTCTAGATCCCAACATCCTAATTTATTATAATAGTGCAGCACATATTTTCTTTGGGAGCTGGCTACCCTTTCTTCGATCATGCCACTTTATATCCCCATAAATACTTAAGGGGCACCTAAATCTTTGATATGGAATATGATGCTTAGATATGATGTAAGATCTTCAATGTCGTTCACATTGTCCCCTATCATAACAGTATCACCAATCCACTATAAGAGTTGGAATCCCAACACTATTCTTCTTCACAAAGATCGTATGATCAGCCTGACTTCTTTTTAAACCCAAATTTCACAATACCTCACTCAATTTTTCAAACCACGCTCTAAGAGACTGTTTAAGTCCATATATCATCTTCTTTATCTTGCACACCTTTCCTGGGTCCCCCTTAATCTAAAACCCTGAAGGCATGACCATATAGATTTTTTCTTGGATATCTCGATGCACTAATAATGCATTCTTTACATTTAGGGGTGGAGAGACCAATATTTATTAGCTGCTGAAGAAAGAATGATCCTCACAATGTTCAACTTGACCACAAGAGCAAAAGTGTCCCACTAGTCTATGCCAGGAGTCCGAGTGAAGCCTTTTACAACCAATCTAACCTTATACCTTTCAACAGTGCCAACAGCTTTGTACTTCACAATGTATACCCATTGACATCCTATGACCTTCTTCCCTTTGAAAAGATTGGTGATTTCCCATGTATTATTTTGCTCAAGCGTTAACATCTCAACACCCATAGCAGCCTTCCATTGAGGTTGTAAAAGAGCCTCTACAACACAGAAAAAGTATTTCAACAGAAGACAAAGCTAATGAAGGAATGATAAGAAGACAACATTGGATTATAAGATGAAAAGTTCCCCATAGGATGTTGAGTGCAAGAAAGCTTAACCTTGCGTACAAGTCCAAATTAGGACACTCCGAGAAGGTGGAAGATTTATCAGAGTCGGGAATAATTCATGATTCTGCATTACCATTCGGGGTATAATTGTTTAAGACACTTCAGATTGTAACACCGACCTCTAAAAAGAGAAAAAACAATAAAAAACTTCAGGTTGCAACATCTTCTTTCCCCTAGTATACATCTTCAACTCCTTGTAAGGGTGTACACCATTCTCTTTAGATGAAAGTGGTGTGGGTATAGGAAGGAGAACCACTGATATGCTCTCTTCACTAAAATGTATCTTATCCTCCCCCTGACAAGAGTACTCATGATAGATAAGAAGCAGGGAACAGATTCAAAGAAACTAACATCCATAGAGACATAGCAGACCATGATTACGAGGAACTAGAGCGACGGGAGGTCCAGGATCTGAAGCAGGTATGTGAGAGTGAAGGAGGCTCGAAGATCCGTAGTTGAGGGAACAAGTTCCTTACATCATGAAGTAAAGGGATCAAGATCCCTAGGATTAAGGGAACACGTTCCATAACTGCCTAAGAGCAAATCTTAAACTGAATGAGGTCATTGTTCATCGAGCCTAGGATTGAGGCTCCCAAAGATCAATTATTTGCAGTATTCTAGTTTAAAAGTTAATTCCACAATTCAATTATTTAAGCAAGTTTCACTCCAACAATTGCTCATATGGGTCCATTACAAAAATTGGGCATCTACCTATATTGGTCTGCCTATGTATGCAGACAAACCCATTTTTGGCATAGACATCATGAGAATAAAAGATCTCCATGAGCTAAAGATACAAGAAAAAAGGCATAGACTGATGACACTAGAAACAAGGTAAATAATTGAATTTACCGCATTATTTTGTACTATATTTCATTGTACTTTTTCTTCTTTGAAAGAAGCTGATGGTTATTTTATAAAAACAAAGAATGCACAACAATAGTAAAAGATGTCAATATGGTATCTCGATACACCTAAGGATTCATCGTCAACATTATCTAAGCCTTATCCCAACTCTTTGGGGTCAGTCACACGAATCTTGTACTACCATTACGCTCTATCAAGGGACATACCCTCAATCAAACCACAAGTCACCACATCTCTTCTACTTCCATCCATTTTTTTTGGGCTTTCCTTCCATTTGAACAAAATCGCCTCTTCTAACCGGTGTTGTATTAGGTCCACGCTTTTCATGGCCAACCCACCTCAGTTTACTTTCCCTCATCTTATCACCTATTGGAGCCACCACTTAGTTGCCTCAAATGTATTCATTTTGAATTCTATTATTTCTTGTCTTGCCACTCATCCATCTCAACATGCTCGTCTCAGCAACAATTATCCTACAGATATGTTATTTCTTGACTGCCCAACATTCTACCTCATAAAGCATGGCTGGTTTTACAGTTGTCCTATAGAACTTCAACCACTTTGTTAGCACGACAGGTAGAATTTAATTAGTTGATTTTATGTGGGAATAGCACTAACTCCTTCCTAGGCAGAATATAGTAGAATATTTATAGTACATGATATCAACAAAATAACAGTATTCTTCTACTTTTATCTCTTTTTAGTTACTTGTAATCATCTCCACAGCACTATGATGACACATCAATATTTTGAATTGATATTTAAATAGTTCATTTTATTCTTTTGCTTTTCCTTTTTTATGTTACCTCCTGTTATAAATACTTGTCATTACTCGAAAACAAAAAATTTACTCCTCACAACTAAATCATATTTACAAATCTGCTTGTTTAGCCTAAATTACTTCTATGATTTGCTTTTGCTTCTGGATTAAGTCCACAAGTCAGAGTTCTTTTGCAAACACTACTAGTCAAGAAAAACAATTACTTTCAATTGTTCTCTGATGAACTAACGAATCAAAATACAATTCATAACATATTGAGGCAACAAAAGGATGAGTCAATGCCATATAGAAGGAAGTCAGATATGATACAGTAAGGTATCAACATAGTGTCACCTCAATATCTAGATTTGAGGACATGAAAACCATTACCCTAAGCATGACATACCCAAATTGAAAGGAAAGTAAGAAACATCATCATTTATATCAAAGATAATGGCTGGAAGCACTTACTAAAACAAATGATTATGACATAAAACTGTTAACCATCTCAATAGTTTTCAATTGGGGAAAAGCAAAAAATTCAGAAGTAATTGGCAAAAAAAGGTTCTCCTATAAAACAATAAGGCATTTCCAGGTTAGTTTCACCACATACATCAACGAATTCTCACAACGCTCCAGAATTAAATGGCGATCTTCTCCTTCACCAACAGATTCATGTGCTAACCTGGAAAAATAAAATTATCATAAGTATGCTATGCAGAAACAACTCATGCATTAAATAAAGGCAGGTACCGAATGGTTATTCTTTTAATCTTGAATTCGGAAAGAATTGAATCTCTACAAGAAACTAAAATTGCAGCCAAAAGATATTATACTCATGTACTGCACATACAATATACACATTTGATCACAAAAAGAGAGGAAAATGAATACCCGAAAATCTCTGCAAGACGATGTAGAAGCATGCGGTGGTAAGGATTCATTGGTACAAGCTCCAAGACAGCCTCGAAGCTGAGATCCAACAGAGCCCATTCATTTTATGGGCGCAAAGTCAATTTAGTGACACTACACCACACTAAATGGTTCATATCCCAGAAGACCTTTAGACAATGCTGCAACTAGCAGTCCATCGAACACTAAACATTTTCCAAAACTGAGCTTATAAACATGGACTGACAAATGATAGAATTGTGCTGCTAATGCTTGAGCAATTAAAAAAGGAATAAGGAACTCCAAATCTAGGTAATAATGTGAAAGGGAAATTGTTCACAGTTCTAGATGTAATTCTTACTATCATTCTATAAAAGCTAAAGACAAAACACCATCCCCACAACCCATTACCCCCCCCCCCCCAACCAAAAAAAAAACAAAAAAAACCAAAAACAAAAACCAGGAGAAAACTCCTTTATTCCATGGATTGAGGAGAAACTTGCTATGTTTTTATTTTGGATAAGCAAAACTTCTATAAATTGTGAAAGCAAGTATGAAGTGCTCAGCATGGCGCATACAAACAAAGAAGTAATCAGCAAAAAGAAGAATGAGACCTCCCTCCCTCCCACTAGTGACCCAGTTGGGCCAACTAGGGCAATGGAATAAATATATAAATAACTTATACGCCTTATATAGCACTAATGAAACAAAAACATTTGATGTAACTTGGACCAACCAGAATTGTTCTAGATTGCGTTGTCCCAACCAAGCTTGAAAGACCCAATCAAATCTATGGACTAGACTTTCATCCATGTTTCCCCTTGTTTTACCCACACATATCTATGTTTCTCCTGATTTTCCCAAATTGCTCATGCAATTCAACAAAATTTCTTGTCTCCTTCATATGATTTCCTAGGCATCATCATCATCATCATCTGAGCCTCATCCCAACAATTACGGTAGGCTACACAAATCATGTTCCACCATTTGATTTCCTCGGCATACTTACAAAAAATACTTGCCATGTGTTTGATCACTATGCTTCATCTGGTGACTTTTTTGTATGGCAAGTTGGGTGCATCCAGAATGACATAACCAATGTATTTATGAATATGTAGATTAAGAACTCCAAACCAGAGTTTATTTGAGGGGCGAGTGAGGACATTAAAAGAGTGGCTAAGGAGCCATGTGTATATCTACCGCATCAACCATCTCCACTGGTCATTCATCCAAAGGTTTCAGAAGCTCATAGAGACTTGGGTAAAGGCAAATATAGGTGCTTTGGATGTTCCCGAGCTGCAGAATTTAATAGAACCTAATCTGTGTAACAATGTGATTTTCTCTTCTTTTTTTTTCTTCATAGGACTTTCTGAAATAATATTCTTTACCACTTACCATATGACCTTTACATCCAAAAAGGCACTACAGTTAACAAATTAAGAGAAACCCATGTTGTTCCATTTCAGGATAACGACCTTGCTGACTAAGCATTCAATACCATTAAATATATTCAGATGACTATCCTTCTATGCACATGTCAACCTTAAGAAAAGTGGCTCATAGGTTCTAGAAATAATATGCATTTACAACATGGAACTCCAATTTTCAACAGGAAATATTTTGCAATAGAGATCTGGTCCCCTCGACTCATATAAAGATAAATAGTGCTCTTACCATGTATTTCGTTGAAGGAATTCGACTAGGATATCTTCCATTGAAAGAATAAGATGCTTACAAGGTAAGTTATCTTTAATAAGAAAAGCCAATTCTTCCACCTGTAATTGGGAAGATACGGATATAAATATATGGATGGCTACAGCAGAGAGAGTTGAACTCAATAAAAAGACAAAAACCACAAAAACCAGGCACCACTTTCGGATGTACTTAGATGAGGTCAAATGCCAGTCGGCTTAGTCAAGGAATTCCAAATAACCAGATCATTCCAAATCAAAACACATGAAACACAAATTGCAAAGCAGATGAAATACACAATAATATTGTATCCAATTTGTAACACAAAATATTGACAAGAGTTCCAAAATAAGTTAGAAATGTGATGTAAAATATAAGAGAAACAGTACCCCATGGTGAGCAAAAGAAGCTCCAATCGCTATCTTTCTTTTTGGAAAAGCCTTCGCGATGAACGCTCATGCACTACACTATAAAGTAGAAGGCTACTTCCTAAGTAAAGGCAAACAGCTCATGCTACCCGTACTTTATCTAAAGGGCGAACAGCTCATGCTTCTTTTCCTTGATTTACCAAAATAATTGACTTATCTTATTATAATTGACTTATCTTATTTTTAATCAATGACTTCCTAGATAGCTATAATGACCTTCACGAATTGGTGGGAGGCTGTAAAATGGAACATAAGTAGAATTTAGTCAGGTTTTTCTTATAATATACAATTTGGTCATTGGAGTAAATTTGCATGTCTATGGTCCAGGGCAGCTTAGGGTTAAGGACTTTAAGGACGATGAGCAAATTCCTAAATGTTAAGGGGTAGCAATGATTTTGAAGACAAGTTTTTGCAGTCTACTAGCCCAACCTCTGGCCAAGAGCCATTGGTCAAGAACATGGAAAAGATGGGGATAGACCGATTTGGTGCATACGCATTAGAAGTACTTTAGGATTAGGAAACATAGACAGGGGAGTTGGCAGATTTATAGGTATGCCTTGAAAGAGGTGTGCCTTATAGACAGTTTTGGACAAAAGATAGCAGGAGTGGGCAAGTGTGCAACATTTCTCATTCAGATTGTCCATCTGAAATCTCTAAAGATTGATTTGAAAACCCAAACCTCTGCTGTCTCATGCTTAATCTTTTCTTGGGTGGCCACTCTCGATTTGATCACTATGATAAATAACCTAAAAAACGTGAAATTCAAACCCAGCATTTACTTCGTGTATAAGAACAAAGGAGAATGACAGATGATAACAAGTGTGGGCTCCTTGGATTTTCCTTATACGAGCAAGGTTGGCAATGTTTCTTGAACCTATTTGTTAACTTTTATTTTGGCTAGGTCTGTTTTAGCAGTTTTGTGTGATGCTAGAATTGTTGAGGCCCTTTTGCACAACTGCTGGCATGATGCACCACTTCCTGAAAGAGGTTGATTACATTGGAAATGCTATAGAAGGAAATAGTCAATTTTCTCTTAAAAAAAAGGGAGAAGGAAATAATAAAATTCGTAATGAAGTACAGATAATTGGGGTGTTTTTGAGAGAGAGGAAAACCTGGTTTAATAATCTCACAGGCTTTGCTAAAAAAACAAATTTGATGGATTCAAAGAAACCAACCTCATTCAATAGTAGCACAATACACCCGTGTAGCAAAATTCCTTCATCTAGAGCATGGCCATTTGCCAAAACAATCTTTAGAGACCAACATTTATGGTATGCGGTAACATTTCTCAGAAACCTATGACTGACAAAGAGATTGTAAGGTAGTGTTTATGGTATGCGGCAACATTTCTCAGAAACCTATGACTGACAAAGAGATTGTAAGGTAGTCTGGAAATCAAAACTCTGCTGAGCCATGTATTAGTAGCCCCTTGACTGGTCTAGGGTACTTTTCAAACCTTTTCCCTGACCATTTATTGGTGGAGCGAGAATCTCACTATGCTCATGGAAAAATTCTCATGTAAACAAAGAGAATATGTGTTGTTTTCTCCCTATGTAACGAAGAGAAGTTCATCGGAAGGTAGAGCCCCTCGAACAAACAAGAGGTAAGAGAGAGTAACTATCCACTGGGGGTAATGAATAGATCCCATTAGATAGGTTTCTTATACATGTCTCATTGGTCGCATTGCTCATTGAAATAGATAATCACCTGGCCTGAGAACTACTTATAACTGTCATCTATTAAAGGGAAAAACGAGAGACAGAGAGAGAAAATTTTACATTCCAATTTCTGATGTACCTGGATTCAACATATACAGTTTTCTAGTTCACAATGTTTCCTGTGATGAAGTACAAAGAATACATGCAAGAAGAAACTATAAGAGATATTGCTAGAAAATATGTGAAAAGGACTCTCATGTCGCCTTTCCCAGGTTATTCATATGGCAAACACGTCAAAATTTCTAGGTCAAAATTAAATCATGCACAGGAGAAGCAATTCCATTTAGTTCACTCGCGATTCTTAACCATTATTTTGCCTATCAACTTTTTTTTGTTTTTGTGCTTGTTTCAAATATTACGAAGAAACTCGCAAAAGAACAATAGAAAGCACATGCGTAAAGAAAAACATGAATCCTGAAGGGAACAACAAAGAGAAAAGAAATACCATAGCAAATTGATCCATGGCAATGATTTGGAGGTCAAGGGTTGCAGTTGAAATTTGAGATAGGGAACCGTGGATAATATTCAGCACTCGCTTCAGAACTCCATCGTTCATGAAACCCTAGAATCACCATCACGTCTCTCTCCCTCTCTCTCTCCTGTTTACTCGGATCGGGAAATTTTAGTCGCAAAGGCAAAGACTCGACGATCACAGAATTTTTATCCCTCTTTTCTTCTGGAAATTTTGTTAATGTCTGTATTTTTTGTGTTTACATTGGAAAACTACAAAATTTGCACCCGGTTTCTACGCCGGCTTGTATGTAGATAATGGAGATCATGAATATGAAAAATTAAATAAACTTTAAGGACATGGAAATCAACTATATAAAAAAATAAATAAATCTTTAAAATTAAATATAATAATTCTAGTGAAAAAACATTGTTAGTTTTCACTATTTTAAGATGGAACACCTACTTGCATCTACCTTTAAAAAGGATGCTTTACCCTTTTTGAACTAAATATATAGAAATGTGATCCCACATGAAATAATTTTCTTTTTATTCTTTATATTCCTCTTTAATATTTTATATTGGGAAAATTATATACATATTTGTTATAGTTTACGTTATTATGGATATACCGAATTGTTTCCGTTATTACCACCGTGTCCATTTTTTTCATGCCAAAACGAAAAATTTTAAAAAAGATGACTTTATCCTTTTTCGGTTGTTGAATAACCAAATTCAATGCATTTTTGGTTGTTCAACAACCGAAAACGGGATTAGCTCGTTTAAATTTTCCTTTATGGTTTCGGTTGTTGAACAACCGAAATTATCCAATTTTCGATTGCTGGGCAGGGCTCGTTTTAAAATCCTGGATCTGTTTCTTGGGCTTCACCGGTCTAGTTATCTTCTCATTCCCCCCTTTTCTCACTCTCTTTAACCTTTCTCACAATCAAAATGGTTATTTAGATATGGATACAAGTATTTTAACAGATCATAAACTGCATTTGACGGATTTCAAATCTGTAGTGAAGGTATGTATAATCTGATTTGTCGTTCGATATTTAGAAGTTAACATTGTATAAGATTATGATTTAGGGTTTCACACTTGATTAAAAGCGGTCGATTTAGGATTTATTTGATGGATTTTACAGATCCATAAATGATAATTTGTTTGAGTGATAGTTAGGTTTTTTAAGCAGTGTAATTTTTTGGGGTTTTTAATAACTATAAATTTGGGGTTATTTTTAGATCTTGAATGATATACATGAGTTATTGAGTTATGTTTGTTTCTTATTTATTCTTTGAGGATTTTAAACTTTGGAGTTATTGAGAACTACAAATTTTGGGTTATTATTTGAACCCAAAATGAATTCATCTGCAATTTGAAATCAATAGCTTAATATAGCAAAATGTGTTGTTGGATGTTGCCTTCGTATTTGAAAATGTATAACTTATGCTATATTGGGTTTGCAATTTGAAATGAGTAGTATAATAAAATTGCTTTCTATTTTTTTTTTATGTATATCTTTGAATCCTTGACCCATCAGTGCTTCATTTTGATTTCTACGAGTGATATCTATTTTATTTTATTTTAAGCTTTTGGATATTGTTTGTTTCATTTTACGTTTTGGGGGTTTTGGTTTTTCAGTAGTTGAATGGGTTTGTGTTTTGTGACTGTATATAAATGAATCCATCTGTAATTGGAAATATGTAGCTTAATATAGCACCCTGTGTTATTGGATGTTTCATTTGTCTTTGAAAATGTATGATCTATGCTATGTTGGACTTGTAATTTGAAATGAGTAGCTTTATACAGATTATTGGATGTTACTCTGTGTTGTTGGATGTTGTTGCCTGCATTTTGTTGTAATTAACATTTGGGTTATAATAAATGCAAAATACAATAGCTGTCTTTATTTCTTCCCCTTTGAACCAACATCTTAGTTGTCTGAAATGGTGTCTCAGTTGCTCTTTTTTTTATTTTTTCTCATAGCTGTATGGGCTTATAATGAATGGATGTGGGCTTTGTAACTTGAAATTTCTTATAGCATATATTTTAAATAGGTACAGAGATTGTATAGAACACTGTTTTGGTTATCATATAAGACCAAAACTTTTGCCGTCTATACCTCATGCCCATTCCATTGTTAGTGACATATAAATTACATAGGCTCTCTAATTGTTCAATATCCTTCATATCACGCTTTGGTATAAGCTCAGGGTCATGCATCACTTCAATGTTTTGATCTTAATCAAGTAAATGAGTATTACAACGACTGTTGACAAAAGATATATTACAACGACTGTTGACAAAAGATAGAGTGTAAGATGAAGCAACAATTTCTGGACATAAAATATTCAAATAAAGCAAATTAGAGATAAAAAAGTAAGTTGTAGATATACATATTCCTTGAAGATGGGCCATCACCAACAGATTATGCCGTTGGGAATTCCATAAATCTCCGTTCTGGCTCTATTGCAGAGGCAATATATACAACAATACTCAAAGACTCCCTTCCCAATATAAAAGATACATCTATATCATCACTTATATCAATCAATTCAAGCCCACTAATTGATTTGTGTTGTGGTACATAATAGTCAATTTCTTTGGATCACATGAAGTTAAATTACCAAAATGTCTTTTTAGTTCCTCCAAGGAACTATTTCCATTAATTTTGTAACCTTCACTTTTCCCCTTTTATAAACCACACGTCCGCCATCTACATTCGTCTGACCGCCCATATCGGAATATCAATTGCACTCCCTCGGTAACTAACGTCAATACTACTGTATTAAATGAAAAATTTGATTCATGCTACAAAAAATCAATACAATAAGGAATACAAAAAATTTGAATATTTCTAACTACTTTAGGGTTCATAAAATGTGAGTATTACATAATAGATTACAATAATGTACTACTAAAAAAAGTCAACTAATCAATAAACAACAAAAAACATCAAATACTAAAACAAACACAAAATAAACAACAAATACAATATAGTGGACTACTATATGTATCAACATAATACAAACAACGAATATTAATACAAACAACAAATAATTATACAAAGAAACAATTTCAACAATATTTAGTAAATATTATTTATTAATCAACAATACACAACAAATACTAATAAAAAATATAATTTATTGTATTAATTGTGACAAAATTAATCAATAGTATAAGGAAAGAATAAGGCATGTACCAATTACGACCAAATAGAGAGCCAATCTCTCCAGTTTTGTGGGATATTGTATTGGGGGACAGTAAAGTACGTAGGATTGGGCACACATTTTTTTTTCCCTAAATTATCAAAAAAAAAAAAGTCCTTCCTGCTAATAAGAGCGAATTTTTCCCACCAAAACTTTTGGCAAATCAATAACTGAAAACCGTAAAATTTCGGTTCTTCCAGAACGAAAATTGGTGTATTTTCAATTGTCAACAAACCGAAAATACATTGAATTCGGTTGTTCAATAACTGAAAAAGGGTAAAGTCTTTAAAATTTCCGTTTTGATATAAAAAATGGACACAGTGGTAATAACGGAAACTATTCGATAGAGCCATAATAACGCAAATTATAACGGATATGTATGTAATTTCCTCTTTTATATTTTACAATGAGATCTTATTTTTTTATATTTTACAATAAAGTCTTTCTTTTTTTTTGAAAGCCCTTTTGGATAGGGAGAAATTAATAATTTTGGATATTTAAAATTCAAGAAAATCTATGAATTTTCAATATGAAGGTTTTTTGGCATAGGTTCCTCAAATCTCTTGGTAACAAAATAACAAAATTTGATACAATTTCGCTCTCTAAAATTTTAATATATACTCTCTTTATAACTCAAAATTTGAGATAGTTTCACTCTAAAAATTTTGAGATTGCTTCTCTCTCTAAAATTTAATATGATTTCTCTCTCAAAACTTTGGTATATTTTCTTTCTCTAAAACATAAAATTTGAAATAGTTTTTCTCTCAAAAAAATTTAAAATATTTTTTCTCTCTAAAAATGTTAAGTACTTTGTCTCTCAAAAATTTGATATAGTTCATCTTTATAAAATTTGAGATAATTTCTCAATCCACAAATTTTGAGATAGTTTCTCTCTGTAAAAAATTTCAGCTAATTTCTCCCCCTAAAATTTGATAAAGTTTCTCTCTCTAAAATTTTAAGATACTTTTTCTCTCTAAACCTTAAAATTTGAAATAGTTTCTTTCTAAAAAATTTGAAATAGTTTCTCTTCAAAAAATTTTAGGTACTCTCTCTATATAAAATTTGATATAGTTACTCTCTAAAATTTTGCATTTCTTTCTCTCTCTAAAACTTAAAATTTAAGATAGTTTCTCCCTATAAAAATTTAAGATATTTTCTCTCTCGAAAATTTGATATTGTTTCTCATTCTAAAATTTTAATGTACTTTATCTCTAAACTTATAATTTAAAATAATTTCTCTCTCTAAAAATTTCAAGTATTTTCTTGATCTAAATTTTGATATAGTTTATCTCTAAAATTTTAATATACTCTCTCTAAAACTTACATTTTAGGATAGTTTCTCTCTCTAAAACTTTTAAGATATTATCTCTCTCTAAAAATTTTTAGATAGTTCTCTCTAAAATTTAATGTGGTTTCTAGATACTTTATCTCTCTAAACCTAAAATTTGAGATAGTTTTCCTCTAAATTTTTTTTGATAATTTCTCTCTCTAAAAATTTTAGGTACTTTCTTTCTCTAATATTTGATATAATTACTCTCTAAAATTTCAATATGCTTTCTCTCTCTAAAATTTTAAATTTGAGATAGTTTCTCTTTATAAAATTTTGAGATAGTTTCTCTCTCTAAAATTTGATATAGTTTCTCTCTTTAAAATTTTAATATATTTTTTCTCTCTAAAATTTAAAATTTGAGATATTTTATCTTTCTGAAAATTTTAACATAGTTTCTTTCTCTAAAATTTCAAAGTACTTTCTCTATCTAAAATTTAATACAGTTTCTCTCTAAAATTTTAAGATATTCTCTCTCTCTAAAATTAAATTTTCAAATATTTTCTCTCTCTAAAAACTTTTAGGTAGTTTATCTCTTTAAAATTTGATAGTTTCTATCTTTAGAAGTTTGTTATACTCTATATGTAAAACTTAAAATTTGAGATTGTTTTTTTCTCTAAAATATGGAGATAGTTCTCTTTCTAAAATATTTTAGGTTACTACTCTCTTTGAAATTTAATGTAGTATCTCTATTTAAAGTTTCAAGATACTTTCTCTCTCCAAAACTTAAGATTTGAGATAATTTCTCTTTCTAAAAATTTTGAGATAGTTTT